GCGGCCCAGGCTCGTTGAAGGCCTGCCGCTGCGACCCAGCGCTTAAGGAGAGCCGGGTCTTGTGCGGGGCGATGGTGGTGTCGAGCGAGGCGAGTTCGGGGCCTTGCGAACTTTGCTCGAAATATTGGCCACTCTGCTGGAGTAGATTTAGGAGTGAGGTTGGCTAATTGCTGGGAGACGAATAACTTAGATCGTACATATCTGCTTTGTTTACCCATCGCGAGGACGGTGTGTCGGAATTAATCTGGAAGAATTTTCAGTATTCTTACCACTACGGGCAGTTCTGGCGAACAACGCAAACTAAGCAAAAATGCTTACCTATTTTAGGTGGCCACCTGTTTGTGTTGCTCGTTCAGCCAGCCCGCTGTGGTTCCTTGCTCTTTACAGTCCCTGTTCGGGTGCTAATATGTTGTGGAATCTTTCTGGTTAGAATAAATTGCTCTGAAGTCTTGGAGGTTTTGAAGCCAGAGGTAACAAAGCCGAGTAATGTTTGCAAACACCACCACCCAATCCAGCTTTGCACTTACATATATACAAAGCTGTTCAACAGATTCCATACATGTCTTTTTGTATTTTTAGACAAGGAATCTTTATCGTATATGAGCTCCTGAAGGGTGATCAATAACTTGTCACATACTTATTTCTAACTCCTGTACATAGGGACAAGGTCCTTTTCCATATATGAGTGTTTTCCAAGCTTTAAATAGTTCACTCTGTTCTAAGCACACACTGCAATCCTCACACAGTCACAATAGTAGATAATAGTAGAATAATTTTTTCTTTTGACTAGATATAATTCTATGTATTATATTGAATTAAGATTAATTAATATTTTCTACAACAGCCCAAAGCATGTGGGATTCCGGGGGACCACCTGCTTGAAAATACCCTGAAATCAGAGGAGGCAGCCTAATATATCAAAAAGGAACCTCAGGGGGACCGCCTACTTAAAGCCCTAGAAAGCGGGGAGGCAGCCCAACCCTGCTACTAGAAATATTAGGTAGGGAAAGAGCTCACAACTCAGGGGTGAGATCTTATCAAAGGAAACCAGCCTCAACCGGTACATCTTTGACAAACATACTTCCCGAATAGGGAGCCTAAAAGAGACTCAACCTATAGCCATAGGTGGACTTTCTACTTAAAAAAACCTCTAATTACAAGGGAAACAGCCCAAGCCAAGAGTAGCTTGTCAAAGGGAAATTACCATCTCTAAAGAGGCTGCTACCTAGGAGACTATACGACCTAGAAGACTATATGAGAATTAAATCCAAGGAACCAAAAAAGGGGGACCACCCACTTAAAGCCCCTAGTAAAGGGGGGCAGCCCAACCCATACATGCAGATCAAACAGAGGGAGCAAGGAACCCTACTTCAATATCCACATTCTTAGTGAGGGACATCTCAAGCCAATGAGCAGCTAGTCACAGGTAATCTGTCCTCAGACAGCTACCAACTTTGATGTTTCAGATGGGCCACAGTAAATAGCAGCCTGACCTGAGATGTTACTAAGAAGAGAGTAAGGAACCCTACTTAAAACCCAAACTCATTGGGGAGGGACACCTTGCTACAATCTGGATAGCCATCAAAGGAAACTGTTTTTAAACAAGTACATCTTTGATACTTTGAACTTCCACTTAAGAGAGGTAACAAGAGGAGCTTGAATGGAAACTTTCTACTCCTCTCGTGGGGCGCGTACAACCCCCGTGCTTGATCCCACCTCACTGCAATGGCGGCCATGGGAACAGAACCACAGAGTGTAGGGGCTCAACTCTCATCCCTCGAGAGAGTCAAGCCTGGGTGGAACCGATAATTGTGACAGCATCACACAACACCCATTTAACTCCTTCGAGAGCTAAGCTTGCTTAGTTCAAGCATCACTATAATCCCCTCGAGAGCTGGACGTGCTCTTGCAAATGCTGACTGCTATCCCTCAGGAGAGAACAGAAAATAAAAGATCTTTACCCGTCTCTTTCAGTCAGTCTCGCAAATGCATCATACCTGGCACATCCACTCTCTCATATTACACCGTTTCTTATTTGTATAAAGAATTAGAAACAACATGGAATACCTGAAAGGGGAAAACATTTCCCATCACGTCCGTGCTCCACTTACAATCTACTAGGGATGGGCATTTTTCAAAAATATTGTATTTAAATATTTGGACTAATAAAAAACAAATATTTGAATATTTATTTAAATGATGAAATAATGAGAAAGACGTTATTTTTTAATAATCAAGATTTTGTCACAGTTTCTGAACAAGCTTATGATTAGGCATTATACACAACAATGTTCTACAACAACGTTACTTTATATCTCAAGTTTTTTTTTGTTGTTGAAAATGTGTGTAAACAAAAAAAATTATATATAT